CCATCAAGGGTACAAAGCCTCATTAATGATGATTAATAACAAGTAATCAAATTCTTAATGCCCAAGCTCAAATTCTGCCTTTTACAAACTGCCTAGGCTTGGTCAGGCTTCTGGGGAACCCCCTTTCTTTCAACAGTCTTGCCAGTTTTCCTTTTGTCATGAACTATGAATTATGGACATGGACCTTCTGTCCCAATCTCTATTCGGGACAGCTCTTAAGCACACAATTAAGTCCCATAATTAAGCATTAGCGTGTTTCCTGAACTGAGACCCCACACTCTTATGGACATGCTTAAAGTAAAGCATGTACTTAAGTGCTGTTGTGAATAAGGATGCTTTCCTTAATCCATGGCCTAAGTGCCTTGCAGGATAGGGATGGATTTTAGCATGTCCTTAAATATTTTGCTTTGCTTTGCTGAATAGGGGCCTATATGCTTTGCTGAAAAGGAATGGGAATACTGGTATGTTTGTGTGCTTAGCTGAATCATGGACTTCTTATTGTGAATGTTAGAGCATGGGAGATCAGTAATTGATTTAGCCTGTAATGTTTCAAAAGAGCCAAAGGAATGTAGACATGCAGCTCCCAGTGAGTTTCAGTGTGATTTGGACACTTTTTAAACTCCCTTAGTCTCCTTTGAAAATCCCAGCCCTAGCGAATATTTTTTTGCACAATGATATGTATGTAATGCTAATTAAAAACAAAAAAAGCTCTTAATAAAAGAGGATAGATTCTAATCCTGGCCTAGTTTTATAAACACAGAATTTTGAGTATGGCAAAGCAAACCTATCTGGAGAATTAACTTTCTTCCCCTAGTGTTTGCTTGAGTTATTCAGCCTTCCTTTACTGGAACCTCATACATCAGTCTCTTTAAATAGCTAGGAGACTTCCTGCATGTTGATGAAGAGAAGCTTTTCACAACCAACAGATTTCATTCCCTAATCAAACTTTCTATTTTGAAACAAAATTCTGAAGGTAGTTCCAGCAGCAGATTAGTTGAATTTTGCCTGAGCCAGATCAGCTTACCTTTCTTGCTTCTAAAAAGATGACCAAGTTTTGCTCCAATTACACAAAGTCTAAGATCACTGGGAGTGACATTATTTGTGTATGGCAAAATGCTCTTTGGAGTGTGATGGACAACTTTTACTAGTTT